GGTGGGGGGGGAGGGGGGAGGGGGGCAGAGGACAGACTCCTAAGACCTCATAATTTTACATAGCCTATAGTTATTGTAATTTTACTAGCCAAAAAAGAGAAGCAATGGCATTATGTAATGCAAATTGAGAAGCAAAATTAAAATACATTTGCCATGCTAACTTTACAAAATCCACATATCACTGGTTTAGATTGCAATATGAAGGCAAACCTACAGAATCCAATACAAATATCACGCTATTGATGGAAACCTACAGAATCCAAAACAGATACAATGGTATTGATGTAAAAACTGGATCAGGGAATCTTCTAACTTCTAATTAGTGCATCACAATGCAGCTTAAGCCAATAAAAAACTTAGTTCAAAGCCATTTCAGAAATTAACTCATGTGTATATCAATGATATGAACCAACAAGCACCGATGACCTTCTGTTACAAACTCTCAAATCCTAATTTTCTGCTTTTCAATCTAATTAAGGTCTTCCTCCATCCCGAACCCCTTCACTTACGCATGTTATATCTTTGTGTTAGTCTATATGTTGGGCGTGTGAAGAGAAAGANAGATTTGTCTATCACTATATTTTTGTCTTTATTACCTTAAAAGGACAACGCGTGAACAATTAGTTTGACAAGTTATAAATTGGACTTGTCACCAAATTTTTCAAAATTTTAATAATTCAAGAGACAAAATAAAATCAAATGTTAAAAAGATTAAGTTTAAAATATAATTTACTCCCAAAAAAAAATTATATCAAATGTTATATCAAGTCTAATCTTAATCCAACAAGATTAAGTTTCCAGGTTCAAATACTATTTTCAAGGATTTATTATAGCAATGGTCCCTAAAGTTTACAATTCGTCTCGTTTTTGGTCCTTACTATTAAAATTATATCACAATGATCTCTAATGTATTGAATTTATTTTTAAGTGATCTCCACGTATAACACCGTCAAAATTTTTAATGGCTTTTACTCATGTGCTTTAGATATACTTCCAAATGAAGGGTATTTCAAATAAATTTGTTGACTTGATCCAAAAATTGCAGCAATAGTCTGTAAAATATATTATCTGTCTCATTTTGGTCCCCATTATTATAATAGTATCACATTAGTCCTTAACTTATTGTAATGTAGAGGTCCAAAATGAGACAGAGAGTATACTTTGGATTGAGGTTACTACTATAATTTTTGAATTAAGTGGACAACGATTTATCTAAAATTTCCTTCATTTGAGAGTATGTGAGAAGAACTATTAAAATTATACAATCACTTAAAAACAAATTTAATATATTAAGGACCAATATAATATAATTAGTTATTGTCTGTGCCTGAAAGTACAAAATAATAAACAAATGGTAAACAATAAATATATTTGTATTCACACCTAAAATCAAATCACAAATGCAGAAAAAAAAAAAGAATTTAAGCACTGATCATAATAAGAATAAGCAGTGATAGTGGTGGTGACAATGACGATGGTGGTGATGGTGGTGAGAGTCGTGGTGGGACAATTGGGGTAATGGTGGTAGGGATGANGAGAGAGAGAGAGAGAGAGGAGATAAACAGCAAACAAACATACAGAGAATGCGGATGATCAGCAAAAAGCTACAGTGAGCACGAGGAGTCTACACCCAACTAATTTAATCCAAACGAAATAAACCCAGAAGGACAAAAAACCCCTTATATAAATTTCACGCCAATGCAGGTAAATACATATATCCATACATAAGATTAAAGCATGAACTACCGCTCCCAGAATTTTCAGAAGAAACCAAATAAGAGAAAAGAGCAAAAACCCTAGTCCGTTCCTCAGAAAAATCAAAAACCCAAAAAGGGAGAGGGAGAACACCAATGCCGATAAATATATATACAGACATTTGCTCATATACACATATAAAAACTCCGCGAAAGATAATTGACCAAACAGAGCGATCATACCTGCTGAAGAAGAAAAGAAGAAGATGAAGCACAGAGCAGAAAATCGACGGAAAATAAATTACATGAACTTGAATATGTGTAAGCTTGTAGAGAGAGAGAGAGATAGAACTTGGCGCTGTCAACAAAACGGTTTATAAGGAGAGAGAGAGAAAGAGAGAGAGGTCTCCGACCGAAACATGGAGCGTTTATCAGTTTGACACATAAACTCCTGAAAAAAGCGTAGGGTAAATGACATTTTGTACCTCAAAAGATTTTAAATTTGTTAATTTGCACCCCAAAATATCAACATTCTCATATTACAACCTTAATTGAACAAATCAGTAGCAATCAGTATACGTTCCATTGCTTTTTACATAAGAAATCAGTATATATAATAGGCAAGTTGACTTTAGTTCATGGTCGCCAACCACGGTTTGATACAAATGGGATTGGTGGTGAGGAACTATTTCAAACAACGATGTTATAGGGATGAATGAATTCAATGTCATCTATACCATATTTTTGAGTTGTCACAGTGTGACAATTTCAACTTCCATCAATTGAATGAATTTAATGACTTTTTTTATTTTGTTTAGAGAATGGACTTGACCATTGTGTGATACAAATGGTGCTAGTGGCATCATACTAGACTTGTAAAACAAACTAACAAAAAAGGAACGGAACATAAACTATTGGGCTAGATTGTTGCTGATTTGTACAATTAAGGATGCGATGTAAGAATATTGATCTTTTGAGATGCAAATTAATAAACTTAAAATATTTTTGGGGTGTGAAATGGCAAATGGCATTCGTTCATAAAGCAACGACTGACTAAGTAGGTGAGTTGGACTCGGCCGAGTCGGATTCTGAGATACTAAAGCGCTGACAAGGTATTTTATTGACACGTGGAATTAGAGGGTAATTTAGGAATTTGGTGGGTCATTGGCTCTTGAAGCTGTTTGTAATTATTGGTGGATTATGGGAATCTGATTAATGGATTGTGGTAATTAGTGCAAAGCTGTACAGATTATGACACATTTAATGCGAGATTAAGTTGTAGATTGCTGACTTGGTGAGCAAGGATTCAAATTTCAAAGTCTTAGCGGTTGATTTAATTGACAATCATTCGCCGCCATTGAATTTTAAGATCGTAAATTCGAGTCTCGCTGTACTCTTTTTCTATAATAATGTCTAATAAAAAAATATTGAAGTTTTGTTTTATTTTTTAAATTAATTTTAAAATTAAGATAGTATTTAATAAAACTAAAAATTAAAGTCTAAAAACTGAAATCCAAAGTTTGAAAGTTGAATACTGAATTCGTGAAATATTTGGTACCCACTAAAATTTAGGTATTAAATTGAATCAACTATTTGATAACTACACAAAATTGATGGTTGAAAATAAATTAATTTATAATTTTACCTTTTTACTCTTTATTTTGAAAATATTTATAAAATATGTTTTTATCTAATAAAAAAAATTACAATATATTAAATCAATTTAATTCATAACATAAATCATAATCACTATTATCATATTGTAGTTTATATTTAACAACACATTATAATAAAATTAATTTAAGTTAAATTAATCACTTAAAGCTACCACATGTCAAAAATTTTAAAAATTACAATTGTAGATTATGTGATTTGTGTATCTATGTGTATGTAAAGGGGGTGTGTGTTTGCATGTGCAGAATGTGTATGTGTGTGCTTTATGTATCATGTGTGTATGTATGTGATGAAGAAGAAAAGGGAAGAAATATCTTACCTGTATGTGCGGGATTCCTGAAGAAAATGACAAGGAAAAAAAAAAAGTGATGAGGAGGATAGATAGATTAGGGATTTTAGAGAGAAAATTAATTATAATTTTAATAGAATTGTGAAATATTTCGATATAGAATTGTCATATTATCAATATTATTAAAGATATTTTTACTAAGTTCTTTTAGTTTTTTAAAATTAAATAAAATATCTCCTAATTAATATTTTAGTTTATTTTTAAGGATTACTTAATATATTAATATATTTAAATTTTAGTTATCAAACGAGTTTAATTAATAAGTGTTGAATATATTCATTTTTGAAGTGCTGAATTTGAGTTAACAAATA